ATGATTTCTTAGTTGACAATGGTTTCCTTGTAATTTAACTTATCAAGTACACCTAATTAGTTTAATATCTCTCTTTTTACAAAGAGAGAGAATAAGTCTTTGAGGTACTTCAGGGATCCTCTGAAATCTCTCATATCTCACAGTTATTTCTAAGTCAAAAAGATTTTGTTTAGAATTTGATTTGGGGGAAGTTTGTCAAAAATGTCAAAAAGGTTTTAAAACAGTAGAATAGGTCACTGTGAAGCAATGCTTAGTTATCCATTTAACCAAAATAACAGTTAAAGACTTCATTGGCAAATAGAGGTTGTGTAGTTCTGAGCAAAATTTGGCTCTTTTAATATCGAGAGGACTAGGTTTACTTAAGTAATCAAAGACCGGATAAGAAAACATAGAACATAAGTGACTCTTTTTTTTTTAAAATTAGGTTTATTTGTTTATTTATTTTTAGAGGAGGTACTGGAAATTGAACCCAGGACCTCATGCTATAAGTGACTCTTTTGACAAGACAAAAGATCTTTGTTTTTTTCCTAGCACATTACTTCAAGATAAAGAAAAGCCTTTCAGAGTCTCTTTATTATCAAGAGCAGACCAATAAGAAATACAAAACAATTTCTTTTAACAGAGAGAAAACCAAATTCCAATTTTATGCCAGTTTACTTTGATATTAAAACTTATATACTTAATTACATTAATTTCAATCATATTCAGTTCTGACCACACAAAAAATTCCTTTCTGAGGATTCCTTTATTCACAAACCTTCTATAATTTTCTGTGTCCATTTTAGTTGGTCTTTTGTTTTCTTTTCCATTTAGCAATAACCAGCTTTTGGACAAGATCACCTTTTTTTTCCCTTAACAAGAACATCTCCATACCTTATACCTTTTCTTACCCCGAAACACATTCTATCTCTGTTATTGTACCTGGCAGCTTTAACTGCATATATTAATTAGATTTATTAACCCTTTGAAATCTTAATTTTTTTTTAGTGAAAATAAAGACATAAACAATTGTGAATTTTATTAACATTTTGTGGCTTGGCACACTTCAAATACATTTTATAACTTATATGTTGTACTTATAAATACAATAATTACATATAGACACATATGCTACTTCATAGTGCAGTCTTTCAATAAAGCACAAGATATATTTACCAGAGCCAAAGACTTAATTTCTCTGTAATAAGAGGCCATAAGAAGGTATAACCTTAGACTTGCTTAGCAATGAATATTTCAGCACTTTATCTTATTTGGAAATGGTCTAGATAATGAATGAATTCTTATAATTTAATTTAACTTAGCAAAACTCTAAGGGTATAAATTACTAAAGGGATTTAGGAAACTATATAAGTGGATATATCATAAAACAATTATTGTTTAAAAGTTCACCTAAAAACTCTGATCACATTTACATCTACTTAATCTATGTGTTTTTAGCAATCATATTTAGATTATTCAGGAAAATCTGATGAGACATTAAAGCAGTTAGTCATTATCTTAAGTTTGTTTTGTTTTTTGTTTTTTTGCTGACAAACTTCGCAACAGAGACAACATTAGCCCATTGACTAGTAAATCCAGGTAGAACAAAAGTGGTTTATCTCCATCATATTTAATGCTAACTCTGAAGACATACCTGTATTAATTTAACCAGCTTAAAAGTAGCTCTTATTTACTAAAGATTATCCTAGATTGTGTGAAGTTGAAAAACATTTGGGTTATTTTTTATTATATATTTGAGAATTTTTATATAAGTGCTTTTTTATTTAAGCCAATTAAATAGAGCTCTTTTACAAACTAATTTTATCAATACCATCTGGAGGTAATATACACATATAGACAGATACAACCAGAGATCTCATAATTTTCACTTTAAAACTTTAGTCATAAATCAGGTACAATAAAAAACTCACTAGTTTATGAATAACATTTGAAATAAATTAGATTATTTGCTCAGCTTAACCAGTCTTGTATTACTGGTTAAGTGGAGAAGACTTTTAAGATCTGTATTTGCCCTTGGAAAGCAATTCAAGGAGGCTGTGACTTATTAGAGTCTGAGCAAGTGTCCTTTTATCAGAACTGCTAAAGCCTCTTTCTCTCGCTCTTTTTTTCCCCCTGTAATTTCAGGTTCCCCTGATTGAGTTAATCCCGGCTCAGTTTCAGGCCATGTGGGCTGTGTTTACACTTCAAAGACATATAATTTATAAGTTGAAGAAACAATTCTGAAAATATAAGTTTTCTCCTAGGTGTTTTGAAGTATATTTGTCTATTATCATAAATCTTAGGGTAATTATTATTAATTTTTTTTCTTAAGTACAGGACAATTTTGCTCCAATATCCTGATCTATTATAATATCTACAAACGTCTTGAGAGAACTGGATGAGGCCTGGGGACTGGCCAAGCCAGGCGGGCTTTGACTTCTTTCTACAGCTGTACTTCTGGTTTTGTAGAGATTTGCAAGACAAAGACAGTTGTTTCTATTAAGCCTTAAATCTTGGCCTCCAGCTGATTCAGTTTCTGATTATTTGTAGGAGGGCCTGGGGAACTGCTGAGGAGATCGGGTGGTTTTTAAGAAGGAGAATTTTTGTTCAATTTTTGTTTTAAGTCTAATTTCTGGGGTTTTTTACTCCCATCTTAATATGGATTCTTTAAGGCTAGTTGTTAAACCTTTTTTTTCCCTTTTAATTTGATCCTCCTGTGTTTATGAGGAGAGCACTCAAAATATTTTTTCCTTTTAAATATAGCCTATTTAAAGCATCTATCATCTGACCATTGATGTGAAGGATCTTATATTAATTTCATACAGTGACTCAATATATGTTGTGTTACGGCTTAACCAAAGATGCAAGAGGCATCCCACAAGAAGAATATACAGCCCTCACAAGATCCAGGCAGTTCACCCCCAGAGTTAGTCTAAGACAGTAGAACCCCTTTGTTGCTGCAGGTGGTGAGAATGGTGTAGTGGAAACAGTGTCCCCGGTGACCCACAAAAATGCGAGACACCTCCAGCCATAAAGCAGATAATTTATGGTATCAGGCAGGAATGGGACTTTTCCAGCACTAACAATTCAATGAAGGTTGAGATGACAAAGGCCCCTTATGGCCCAGGACTCCTTTTGAAATTCCCCTGAGAGCTGGTATGGCCACCAGATGCACCCCGGTCAGTGCACCTTCCAGATGTCAGAGACCAGAGAGAAAGTGCTCACTGGACCCTAAGCCAAGCTCTCTGGACATAAAACAAGATGGAAGGAAAAACCTCATCTGGTGTTTAGACAGAGGACCCGCAGCAAAGTTTGCCTAAACTGATGCTGGTCTGGAGAGAACCAGTGAGTCCGGGAGGCCGGCTCAGACAACAGATTCAGGGGGCCTCTGCCTGTGTTCTGCCCCGTGGTTCTTCCTCACAACAAACAACACAGCAGACAGAGACAGAGGATGATAGTGACCATCTCTGGGAGGAAAATGATAAGGATTCCTGAGTCGCTAATCCAGGGAACCAAACAGCTCCACAAATATTTTCTCCTGCTAATCTAGATTTACAGTCAGAGAAAAGGGACTGTCACCACTCTCCTTTCCGCCAGACCTTGCAGGCAGAGGTCTGGGAGGCCGACTTGGTAAGAAATTTCACCTTCTGCAGCCTTTGTCAGGGGCCCCGGGATCTCTCAGCAGCCTTGGGGCGGGAGGCAGGGTCCAGCCAGCTGCCTGCCTGGCTCACTAGATGTCAGGAACGGGGAAATTGCCCCTCTACCTTTATTTTGAGTTCTTGTGGCTGGACTTGTAAGAAAAATTGACACAAGACAGGTTAAAAGGAGAAAAAGAAACACATTTTAACTTATGCACATGGAAGTCACACAGAAACGGGACCTAAGAGGTTGCCAAAAGCAGGCAGCTTGTATATTTTTAGACAAAGAAACAGTAAATTTGTGAGGAATTAACCGCACAAAGAAACTTAGGTTTTGGGTGCCCAGTTAGTGAAGAATCTAAACAGAGCTTGGGCTTGGGGTAGTAAATGAAAGAAGTGACGAAGTTTGTTTATAGAGGCTTCTTGGCCCCGAGTTCCCTGTCTTTGGTGATGAGGGTGTCTTTCTATCCCCAGACTGAGGGAGTGCACCTTTTACATGAGAGACTCATTTCTTGCTTTCAGAGAGACAGAAAGGAGAGTCAGAGTATCTCTTTTGTGTTGGCCATTTCTTAAGTAACTTTAATTCAAAATCATCAGTATGAGTGGAGGGGCTTCCAGATGGCGGAACAGAAGGACGCGGAGCTCACCTTCTCCCATGAATACATCAAAAACACACCTGCACGTGGCGCAGTTCTCACAGAACACTTACTGAACTTTGACAGAAGGGCTCATACCAGTGGAACTACAAGGAAATCTTCCGGAAACTGGATAAGCAACCCAGGGAACTATATTTAATATCTTGTAATAGCCTATAATGAAAATGAGTATGAAAAGGACTACGTATCTATGTATAACTGAATCGCTATGTTGTACACCAGAAATTAACACAGCATTGTAAACCAACTATACTTCAATAAAAAAGATAATCAGTAACCAATGCCATTGAGGCACATTCTGGCGTGGCCTACCCTGGGCCCCAACAGTGCCATGTGCAGAGCAACGATGTGGCTAGCAACAGTGGGGTTGCAGTGGTGAGGGCTAGAGTTTGGGGAAGGCGTAGTCCTAAAAGTGCTATGCATGTGGGGAGTGTGTGTGAGCTGCTGGCCCCAGGGCCCTGGTACTGGGGATTAAAGGAGAAGACTGAGCCCCTGTTGGTTTGTATCTGGGAGGCATGACGTTGGTGATGTTAAGGGCCCTGCCCTTCAGGCCCAGAGCTTAGCTGGTGTCTCTCTGCCCACTCCCTGGCATTGCTGTGGGCTGACATAGCAGTCGTATAAGGTGGGGAACCAGGGCCTGGGGTCCTCTCTGAGTCGGGGAGCTGGGGAGGAGGGTAAACAGGGGATAGACAGGGAGTCCTGAGGAGAGAGGCTGATCATGGAATGAACTGTCCCCTCATGGCAGGGCTGTGTGACCTTTGAGGACGTGACCATTTACTTCTCCCAGGAGGAGTGGGGACTCCTTGATGAGGCTCAGAGACTCCTGTACTGCGATGTGATGCTGGAGAACTTTGCACTGATAGCCTCGCTGGGTAAGCCTTTCACATCCACTCAGGTGTCCTGAGCACATCATTTTCGGTCCTCTTTTCTGAAGAGGCAGCTCCTTCCTTCTCACAGCTGGACCATAGGCCCTGCTTCCTTCCCACTTCCTGGTATATGTTTTTTGGGTTCCAGAGTTGAGCTGTGTGCAGGGTCCCATGCTCTCCCCAGACAGCCCCAACACCTGCTGCCCTGAAGTCTTACGGGGAAAGGTCCCAGAATGAAGTCTTGCAGTCAGCCCGGCAGGTCCCACCTGACTCGGCCGCTGCCCGCCTGGGTGATTGTCCAGATCTATGACAGTTCTATTCGGCTCCTTTCCTTTAGCTAACATTTCCTAATCCTGAACGCCAGGGATTCTAGGCACTAACGTGGTTACCACTTGCCATGACTATTGGGATGTTCCCTCCAGACCTCCCTTGTGTGTTACTTCTGTAGTATTTTGTTTTCTTTCCTATGACCCGTTGTGGGGTAGTTCACCTGGGCAAGAGCTGGCCCCTTACCTGCCCTGTGTTTCCCTTAGGACTTACGTCTTTCAGGTCCCACGTAGTGGCCCAGCTGGAGATGGGGGCAGAGCCCTGGGTTCCCGACCAAGTGGACATGACTTCAGCCATGGCAAGAGGGGCGTATAAAGGGCCTGGCTCGGGTAAGTGGGAGGTGGGGGAGAATGTGATGTCACTGCTGTCTTCAAATCATACCTGCAACTTTTCTCATGTTCATCATTGTTTTGGTGCCAAGGCCAATGGGCTTTTATCTCTTCTACCTTTCCTTCCCTTTCCTTTCCTGTTCTTGACAAGTTGCCCATTCTTACTCTAACACCAGGCCCCAGACTGTGCCCCACATTTCTGGCCTCCACGTCTCACTCTTTCCACAGCTCTCTCCAACGTGGGTCTACACTTGGTATGTTGTGACATGTGCACATTTCCTCTGATAGTCCCTGAACACCAGTTATCCAGTTGCAGTCAGATTTTCCTGGGCCTGGATGTACCCTTCTGCACAGCCCTCATGGGCTACAGCAGCCAGTGCCCTTTGAAAAGCCTTTATAGAGAAGTGAGTTGGAGATCTGCCTTTCCACCTGATACTGCACCCTCGTGTCCTTGCTCCTGGGAAGTCTCCCTCTATTCTGTGACCTTACCAGGCACAGTACTGTGGAGAAGACCATACCTTATCCTGACCTCAGGCCTCTTATCTTGCCAACAATCCTACGGACTCATTCTTGGGTCAGACTTGCATTTGTGATGGGGTTGTTTCTGCCTATAAAAATTAACGTGAATTTCACCAGCACTCTCTGCTTTCAGACTTTTGCCATGGAAGAGACAGTGAGGAGTCACCTTCTGAACTTTGTGTTTCTGTAGAAGTGTCACAGGACATGAATCCCAAGGCAGCACCATCCATCCAGAAGCACTACCCCTATGACACGTGTGGCCTACACTTGAAAGACATTTTGCATCTGGCTGAACACCAGGCAACACATCCCAAGCAGAAACCACATGTATGTGAGGCATACAGGAAGGAGTTCAAGTTCATTGCCAACCTTCACCAGCAACAGATGCAGCAGAATGGAGACAAGCCTATTGGAAGGAAGGCAGGCAGGGCCGCGCTTGTGAAGGGCTGCAGCGATGACACATCAAGGAAACCTTTCCCACTGAGGGAGGGCGGGAAGGACTTTGTGGCCAGATGTGGTTTTCTCCAGCGTCAGGCCCCTCCCAGTGTCTGGGAGCCACACCACAGCTCCGAAGGCGTGGTGGATTTTCCCACTGTGCAATGCCATAAGAAGTGCAGTGAATTTGAGAATGCGCTCAGTGACAAACCCTCACTCGTTCAGCAGAGAACCCCCACTGGAGAAAGGCTTTATGAATGCAGCAAATGTGGGATATTCTTCAGCTATGCCGCCGGCCTCTTTCAACACCAGAGAGATCACAATAGAGGAAAGCCTTATGAGTGTTGCCAGTGTGGGAAATTCTTTAGCCAGCACTCCAGTCTCATCAAGCATCAGAGAGTTCACACCGGTGAAAGTCCTCACGTGTGCAGCGAATGTGGGAAATTCTTTAGCCGAAGCTCCAATCTCATTCAACACAAGAGGGTTCACACTGGAGAGAAACCTTATGAGTGCAGTGAGTGTGGGAAATTCTTTAGCCAACGCTCCAACCTCATTCATCATAAGAGGGTTCATACTGGTAAAAGTGCCCATGAGTGCAGTGAATGTGGGAAATCCTTCAACTGCAACTCCAGCCTAATTAAACACTGGAGAGTTCACACTGGAGAAAAACCTTATAAGTGCAACGAGTGTGGGAAATTCTTTAGCCACTTTGATGGTCTTGTTCAACATCAGATAGTTCACTCTGGTGAACGGCCCTATGGGTGCAGCGTATGTGGGAAAGCCTTCAGCCGGAGCTCTGACCTCTTGAAACATCAGCGAGTCCACACTGGTGAACGGCCCTATGAGTGCAATGAATGTGGGAAATTGTTTAGCCAAAGCTCGAGCCTCAATAGCCATCGGAGACTTCACACTGGTGAACGGCCTTATCAGTGCCCTGAATGCGGGAAATTCTTTAGCCAACGCTCCAGCTTCAATAACCATCGGAGACTTCACACGGGTGAGCGGCCCTATGAGTGCCTTGAATGTGGGAAAACCTTCAGGCAAAGTTCAAACCTGAGGCAGCACCAGAAAGTTCACAAACCAGATAAGCCATATAAGTGCAGTGAATGTGGAAAAGCCTTCAGCCAAAGGTCTACCCTCATCCGGCATCAGAAAATTCATGCTAGAGAAAGGAGTTCAGAAAATGTGCTCTCTCCTTCTGCAACACAGCGGCACACACTAGTGATTAGCTCTGAGAATGGTCTTTATGAGGAGTTGTCAGCCAGAAGTTGAACCTTGTTCATCCAAATATCTACGCTGAAGAGATTCCCAGTGGATTCTAGATGTGTTGTAAGCTTTCTGGATCAGGGTTTTATTTTCTGACCACAGACTTTGCCAGAGTTTTGTCACTGCTAGTGTGGTGGCAGAAGCCATCTACCCACCGGCAGGTCTCCAGAGTGTATGTCGGCCACTCCCCATGCTCAGGCCTCTGTGTCCACTTCCCAAGAGGGAATGGTGAGTGGCCTGAGGCCACAGGAAGATGTCATCCCTCCCCTGTGGACATGACCCATCTTTGACCATGAAGACTTGAACTGGGTCCTACTGGCAGCTTGCAGAAGTTTCCCTTTTTCGAGGACATTGTTGATCATGTATGATGCTCATGATGGATTCGTCCAGTTTCCACATTACCCATCTCAGCAACTGTTTACTTAACATTACTCTGGTTTGAGTGATAATAAGAGCCTTATTGATAAAGCCACCTTTAATCTCCTGTGGTCTGATAACTGTGTTGAGTGGGTTGAAAACAGAATTAAGGTCTACCAAGCTAAAGGGGTCTCCTAGTTTATTGCCTCAGGGAGGAGCAGGATGACAGAGAACAGCTCTCAGTCCAGATCTGGGCCTCACTTGTGTTGCTACCCAAGGCCTCCTAGGGAAGTTTGCAGGGCTTGTGGACCTAATGTTGTTGTCTGAATGGCATGAAATTTTGTGGACTAGAGATTACCCTGAGGAAGGGGAGGTTGTGCAACCTTCAATGCATCCGGAAGCAGCGTGATTTGGGCCCTTTGTTTCCTGGAGATGCCTCATATTCCCTAGCACTGTTAAACAGACGCTGTTTACCTGGCTCCTCCCAAGGAATCATATGCCTTGATGTCTAATGTCCAGTCTGTGTCACCAACTGTAAGACTTAACTGGGCCCAGCTGGCAAACTGGAGGGGATGTACCTGACATAAAAGTGCATCTCAAAAGGTTCCCTTAAGTGTGACTGTGCAGGGTTCAGGATTTGCAGAAATTCTCAGGACCTTCAGACCTCTGTCCTATGACTAAGGTCATTGGGAGAGCAAATAATCTAAAGGTTTAGTGGGTTACCACAGGCTCTCTGCATGATTCATGTCAAAACCATTGCTGTGTTGGCAGGAAAATGGGGACTATGAAGAGGTCGCTTCTCTGTGCCAGGGATGAGGCATTTGTGGCACACCCAGCCATCTTTGCTGCCAGTGCATGAGGAGAGAGGTAACAGAGTCAATGTGGGGTTGCCAAATCTTCTAGTTTTCTAAAAGGAGTGGGAGATCAGATTTTTATGTGTGACAATTTCTTTTAATGCTTTGTTGAGATATAATTTTCATGCAATAATTGGTTGTACATTTTGATGTGTATAGTTTGATAAGTTTTTAAATATGTATACACTCAGGGAGTCGACACCATAATTATGATAATGAACTTATCCATCACCCAGAAAGCTACCTCGTGCCCCTTTACTATTCGTTCTTGTCTTCCTCAGGAAACCATTAGCGACATCCCAAGGAAACCACTGATCTGTATTTTTTTCATTATATTTTCACTATATTTGTATTTTTTTCACTAAGCTTTGTCTTTCTCAGAATTTTATATAATTGGAATCATAAAGTATTTATATCTATTTTTGGTCTGTTTTCCTTCATATAGTATAATTGTCTTGAGAATCATCCATTCTATATGTATAAATAGCTCATTCCTTTCACTGAGTAGTGCTCTATTGAATGAATACCACAATTTTTATGCCTTTTTTTTAATTTAAAAAATCTTGTAAAATAAACATAACATAAAATTTAGTGTCTTAACCATCTTTTGGTTACAGTTCAGTGATATTAAGTACAGTCATATTGTGCAACCATCACCATCATTCATCTCCAGAGGTCTTTTCATCTTTCAAACCTGAAACTAAACCCATTAAACAATAACTCTCTATTTCCCCTGCCCAAACCTCTGGAAACCACCATTCTACTTTCTATAAATGAATCTGACTACTCTAGGTACTTCATATAAATAGAGTCATATATTTGTCATTTTGTGACTGGCTTATTTCACTTAGTATAATGTCCTCACGGTTAATCCATGTTACAGCATGTGTCAGAATTACCTTCCTTTTTAAGGCTGAATAATATTCCATTGTTGTGTATATGCTATATTTTGCTTATTCATTCATCCCTCAAAGGATACTTGATTTACTTCCACCTTTTGGTTGTTGTGATTAATGCTGCTATGAACGTGAGTCTACAGGTGTCTTTTGAAACCTCACTAACACTTGTTTTTTTGAATAGTATCTATCCTAATAGGTAGGAAGCCATTTCTCATTGTCGTTTTGATTTGTAGTTCTCTAATGACTCATGATGGTGACTATCATTTCATGTGCTTATTGGTTATTTGTATATCTTCTTTAGGAAAATACCTATTCAAGTCATTTCCCCAGTTTTGAGTTGGCTTGTGTTTTGTTGTCATTGAGTTTTAGGATTTCTCTATATGCTGGATATTAATCTCTTATCAAATGTGTCATTTGCAGATAATTTCTCCCATTCTGTGGGTTGCCTTTTTACTTTGTTGATAGTATTTTCTGCTGTTGTTGGGTAAAGTATTATGTACAATTCTGTTAGACCTAACTGGTTTATTCTATTATTCAAGTTCTCTATTCTCTCTTTGATTTTTTCTTTCTTTCTTTTTTTTCCCCCCTGTTTGTTCTATCCATTATTGAGAGTCAGGTATTAAAGTCTCCAGCTATTGTAAAACTGTCTATTTAGTCCTTTAATTTTGTCCACTTTTGCTTCGTATATTTTCTTGGTCTATTATTAGGTGCATAAATGTTTATAATTCTTATATCTTCTTGCTGTGTAGAACATTTTATTGCTAGATGAAAATGGCTTTCTTTGGCTCTTGTAACTTTTTTTTTTTAACAAAGTCAATTTTCTCTGCTATTAGTATAGCCACCCTTACTCTCTTTGGTTATTATTTTCATGGAATATGTTTTTCCATCCTTTTACTTTCAACCTGCTTATGTCTTTGCATCTAAAGTTAGCCTCTGTAGTCAGCATGTAGTTGGATCATTTTTTTAAAAAAATCCATTCTGTTAATCTCTGTCTTTTGATTGGAGAGTTTAATCCATTCACATTTAAAGTAATTCCTGATAAGGATGGATTTACTTCTGTCATTTGCTATTTGTTTCCTAAATGCCTTGTAGCTTTTTTTGGTCCCCCATTTCCTGCACTACTGTCTTCTTTTGTTTTTAATGTTTTTGATGTGAACTGTTTTAATTCCCTTCTCATTTCCTTTTGTATATATTCTATCTTCTTTGTGGTTACCATGGGGATTACATTAAATATCCTAAAATGATAACAACTATAATTTGGATTTATACCAGCCTAACTTCAATAACATACAGAAACTCTGCTCCTTTGCAGTTCCATCCACCCCCAACCCTTTCAGTTACTGATGTCACAAAATTACATCTTTATACATTGTATATCTAGAAACATAGACTGATAATTTTTAATGTATTGTTTCCTCAAATAACATAGAAATTTTAAAATGGAGTTACAAACCAAAGTTACAACAATACTAGTTTAAAAAATTGCCCATGTATGTACCTTTACCAGAGATCTTTATTCCTTCATATGGCTTTGAGTTAGTCTAATGTCCTTTTATTTCAACTTGAAAGACTTCCTTCAGCATTTCTTGCTGGGCAGGTCTAGTGGTAACAAACTCCCTTAGCTTTTGTTTATCTGGGATTTCTTAATTTTCCTCTCCCTTTTGAAAGAC